CTTTGACGAAGACAATATCGTCGATGAGAAGCGGTGGGGCGAAGACTCGGACGACGAAGACGACAACATTGACAAGGATAAAGAGAAGTTTGATGACAAGGAAATGGAAGGCGAGGCGCTCGCAGATGAAGTCCGCGGCAAGGACGGAGACGAGGATGAGGACGACAAGGATGACAAGGACGACAAGAAGGACAAGCCGCAGCCCCCTGCCGCCGACGACGCCAAGGACGACGACGACGGCGACGACGACGGCGAGGACAAGAAGGACGGACCGATGCCCGACGACGAGATCAACGAAGATACCGAGGACAAGTACGAGGAAGATCACGACGACCTGGCGCCGCGCGACGCCAACCCGGACGACGAAGAGTCCAAGCCAGAAGAAGAAGAGTTTGCAGAAGACATGAAGCTCGACGGCGACGGTGACGACGACGACAAGGACGACGATGAGCCGATCGACGAAGAGATGCCCAACGACGAGGCGCCGGAAGGCGAGGGTGCCGAAGACGAGTCGGCTGCACCCGAGGACGAAGAGCCCAAGGACGACGAAGAGGACGCGGACGCGCCCGAGCCTGTCTCGATGGGCGCTGGCATGGACGACCAAGACGTCCCGGACGAGCAAAAGGACGACGAGTCCAAGCTCGAAGAAGAAGTGCCCGAAGAGATCATGCCAGAGGAGAAGAAGGACGAGAGCCAGAACGCCGGTGCGGTCGCGGGCCTCGAGTCCAAGGACGGCGCCGACACGATGGAGCCCGAAGAAGCCAAGGAAGATGACGACGAGAAGGCCGACGAGGACATGGGCGAAGCGGAAGACTCGGCCGAGCAGAACCAAGATCGCCAGGGCGGCCAAGCCAACCCGGAAGGGAAGGATCTGCAGTCGGTGCACAGCGATGCGTCGGCGGACCCGCAGTCGCGCGAGCGGAAGGACCCGAACCCGTACCAGAACCCGCGCAAGGCGCAGGAACATTGGCGCAAACGCATGGAGATTCTCGACTCGGATACGACCAAGGACCAAACTACGGACGAGAACGACGACGACGACGGTGCCGACGACAAGAAGGACGACGGCGGTGTCGGCGAGCTCGCGGACGACGATGAGAAGGCCGAGTTGGCGCTCGCTCCGACCGAAGACACGGTCATGCATGGCGCCGATGACGACGAGGACAAGGACGGTGACAAGCCCGATGAACCCATGGACGACGACGAGACGCCGGTGCCCGAAGAAGCGCCGGTTGTCGAAGACAAGCCGACCGAGACGCAAGACGAAGAGAAGGCGCCCAAGGCCCCGCAAGACAAGATGCAGAAGGCCAAGGAGCAAGGTCTCAAGGCCGAAGAGCTCGTCGACGACGACGCCGATGACGACATGGGCGTCGACGACGACGACGTCCGCAACGACAACGACTTTGAACGCCGAATCGACGAAGAAGTCGACGAGTTTGCGCCGATCGTTGCATCCGGTGCCGACGCCGGCGGCGAAAGCGGTCTCGACGCAACCACGAGCTTCGACGTCGACGCGCTCCGTGCGCAACTGGACGCGGCCATGTCGTGTCCGACCGTCGACTCGATCGAGCGCGGCACGGCGCTTTGGAACACGTACGACCACATCACGCGCGCGGGCGCCCAGCGTCTCTGCGAACAGCTGCGTCTCGTGCTGGCGCCGATGCTCCGGTCGCGTCTCCAGGGCGACTACCGGACGGGCAAGCGCATCAACATGCGCAAGGTCATCCCGTACATTGCGTCGTCGTTCCGAAAGGACAAGATCTGGCTGCGTCGCACCAAGCCGAGCAAGCGCGCGTACCAAGTCATGGTGGCAATCGACGACTCGGAGTCGATGGCGGACAACCACGCCGGCCGGCTCGCGCTCGAGGCGCTCACAACGCTCTGCAAGGGCATGACGCAGCTCGAGGTCGGCGACATTTCGGTCGTCAAGTTTGGCGCCGCCGTCGAGCTCCTGCATCCGTTTGATATGCCGTTTACGGACGACGCCGGCGGCCGCGTCATTCGGTCGTTCCAGTTTGACCAGACCAAGACCCACATGGTCCAGACCCTCGAGGCGATCGTGGGCCTTCTCGACCAGGCCAAGGCGTCGAGCCACCACAGTGGCAGCGAGATCACGCAGATTGTTTTATGATCTCGGACGGTCGCTTCGACAAGGACGGCCGGACGCGCATGCAAAAGCTAGTGCAGCACGCGATGGAGAAGCAGCAGCTCATTGTGCTCTTGATTGTCGACCACCCGAAGGACGGCCAGGGCATTTGCGACACGCAGAGCGTCTCGTTTGTGCGCGGCAAGGTCGAGATGACGCCGTACATGGACAACTTTCCGTTCCCGTACTACGTCATCATGAAGGACACGACTCTTTTGCCCGAGACGCTTTGCAACGCGCTGCGACAGTGGTTTGAGCTCCTCCAAGGCAGCGACTAGAACAACCCTTTATATTACCTATACAATTGCACATGTGTATTCTACATCTACACTACTAGTGTTGCAAATCGGAGTGGACGTAGTGCAGGTGCTGCTCACTAGACTGCCGGTCCATAACTCGTGGTGAATGGCACCAAGTCTGCGACTGCACTCGATGTCACTGGCTTGCAGCACGTTGGCTCACTTTATCTGGAAATCGTGGACGGTCGCCATCTTGACTGGAGGTGTTTTTTTAACTAGATCTGAAATGGATCTGAAATGGATGCTTTTCATTGGTCAGATATAGAGATCCTTATGGCCTATCAAAAGTCGCCACTATGGCTCCACAGCACATCCCGACAGCCTCGCGTCAATAAACATTCCAAATGAAATCGCTCATGCGTTGCAGTTGTCTAGAGATGGCATTGCAGAGCACATAACACCAGGTCGCGTCGCCGTTGGATGCCTACAACAAGAGAAATATTCGCTCAACCACCGGGTCCCATTCGAAATTAATGCTATTCAATGGCTTATTGCAGGCATTTTTATGGCCTATCTAAGGTACCATATATAATCCAGCACGTTAGCAGCCTACAGTCCAAGGTCCACCCGGACATACCATGAGCCTTGCATGAGAGATCACTCATACTTAGAGCCACATTTACACAGTAAAGTTGTCCAGCGACGTCGTCCATAGACGGTGGCACAGTAGCTACAGCGATTGGGTTGTGACTTTCGTACATTAAACAATTACGTGGAGGTCTGGATCACGTGTTAGTGACATCTGGACAAACGACTGACAATCCTGGCCTTAGGCGCCACACCACTTGGCGCCGTTCGCAAAGGTGTCGCACTCAGCGGCCGTCGCAAAGTCACTCGTGCACACACCGTTCTTGAGGCACCCGGTGCAAATCTTGCTCGAGGGACACGCTGCGCCACCCGTGCATGCACACACCGCCCGGGGCACTGGGGTAGTGGGCTTGGTACCCCTGCACTGGGGGCATCGGGATAGACATGCCGCTGCTTGGAACCCACATTCCCTTTCTGTCCGTGCAGCTCGATGACGTGAACGACGGTTGCTCGATCGTACACACGTTGATCGACGCGCTCCACGTGCCCTCACACGAAGCAGCGGTCACTGGCGGGTTGGACGTCATGTGCATGCACGAGCCCGTCGTCCCCACGATCGTCGAAGAAGCACCGCCCATGGTTATTGTTGCTGTTGTCGGAGGAGCGAATTGAGATATGGTTTCTTCAACGAGTGTCCATAGAGCAGCGCACGCATACAAGAAGGAAGACTAGTCAATCTTTCAAGTTTAGCTACAAGAAGCAAGTGGAGGCAATCTTCGAAGCTTTGCACGAAGGACGCGACGCTTGGTGCGACGCTTGAACCGAAAGGCGCGACCGCGACTCGTCGGACGTTGCCAGAATGCTGGACGCTTCACGGACATGCGCAGGGGACACCAACCACGTTTACTAAACTTCGAAGATTGGTTGCTCTTGCATTTTGTCGTCTTGCTTGGAAGATTGGTTGTTCTTCCTTTTAGTGGTCCTTTGCTCCTCCCATGGTCTCTCGTTGGAGTTCACAACTCCATTTTCCCCCCAAGCAGCAACCAGTATGGGCAGCGCCTCTTCGACGATCGTGGCGACGACGGGCACGTGCAGCGGCATCATGAGCAACCCGCCTGTCACCGCTACTTCGTGCAAGGGCTCGTGGAACCCGTCCTCGGCGACCTGTACGATCCAGCAGCCGTCGTTCACGTCTGGCAGCTGCTCTGGTGTGTGGGCGTGGGCGCCCAACTACGGTCCGTTCGGTGCTGCGTGCGCGTGTGTCAGTGGCGCGGGATGTCCGTCGAGCAAGCTTTGCACCGGGTGTCTCAAGAACGGCGTCTGCTCGGGTGATTTCACGACCGCATCCGAGTGCAACACGTTTGCGAACGCCAAGTGGTGCGGCGCGTAAGTGCAATAGTGTCTAACGTCGACGTGATCAAGACAGACGTCCATGTAATTCTTCAATGTACGACATTTCCTCTGTAAGTTGCTACGGCCCCCTCTCTCAATGGACGACGTCACTGGACAACGTCACGGTGTCAACGTGGTTCCAATGGCTGCGAAGATTATCCCGAACGTGCATCTGGTCGTAGCACGCCAGAGACGATCTCAGTTTCTTGAAATGCATTAGGGCTAGGGATTGCTATACGCATGCTTTTGGGGTAGCCGTGAACAATTATGGCACGAGCTCGACTTGCACGGCTTGCTCACTGAGCCAGACAGTCGGGATATTTGGGTGTTATGGTGTTGGGACGCGACGCTTGGTGGTTCTGGGCACACGCGATTGATTGCAATGACGTCGAATGCGCGCTCTCGTTAGGCTGGCAAAGACTACTGGACACGATGCAGTGGGCTCTCGACCTACAACGACGGTGGTCGCTTGCTTCGTGTCTCTCGATCGGCCATGCCGTTGTGACTTGGCGCCAGAAGGGCCAAGTGCAAGTTGGGTGGGTTTAGTCCACGGCACAAAAAGATGGCATGCGTACCTTGGTATTTGTATGTGAAATAAAAAATGCAAAATAATAGAACCAGGTTAAACTCCACCGGAGATTGCAGTGTGGACGTGATGGAGGTCTGGGCCGAGGTCCGACGGCAGTGCCGGGCGCTGCGCCTCGCCAAGAAGAAGACGGATAAGAAGCGAGAGATGGTCGCACTCGACAGCCTCCTCACGTCCAGTGCCCACCAGGCCGTGCTGCACCGGAGCGGCTGCTGGGGCTACGTCATCGGCCAAATCTTCAACGTCGTCGAGGAAGACCTCCTCGAGCTCACGAAGAAGACGAAGCGCAAGTCTGCGTCCAGCACCATGGAGCTGCCCAACGTCAACGTGCTCTTCCACGCACTCGACAGCGCCCGCGGCGCCCTCCACGAAAACGCGCTCGGCGTCGACACGCTCAAGCGGCTCGGTGTCTTTGGCGAGCTTGGCATCAACGACGAGGTCACGATCGGGACGCCCGTCGAGCGCCACTGCTACACGCTCTTGGAGAAGCTCCTCTCGATTCCAGCGTACACGCAGCGCCTCGACCCGACGCTGCTCAACGACGTCCTCGGGCGCGTCCTCACGCATCTGCATTTGGGCACGTCGGTCGCGCACCACGGCCACTGCGCGTCGATTGCGCGTCACATACTTCGCGGGATCGCCATGGACCTGCACGCGCATTTGCCCAAGTACATGGACTTTTCAATGCGTGGTTTGGCACCATGAACCAAGCGGCGACGTCGGTCGCACTCAACCTGCTGGCCTCTCTGGTCTTTCTCATGGAGACATACCCCACGGCCATGGCGCCGCTTGTCGCCGAGACGACCGTGCTCTCGTTTGTGCAGCGCATGCTGCCGCACCACCTCAAGGCGCTTCCACTCGAGGTCTCGGGCTTCTTACTGCAGTACTACCGGCTCGTGCCCGGCAGCGACGTCAAGCACATGTGCATGGCTCTGCTTGATCCGACGACGATGCACACGGTGTTTACGGCGGCGTTCTCGGTCGCGCGGCAGAGTGCGATGACGTCGGTACCGTCGACGATCGACGGCGTCTTGCTCGGCGACCGCGCGATCGCGTGGTACAGCATGACGGCCGACGTTCTCTGGCTCCACGATTTCAGGCGAAATCGGTTGCGACGGCAGCCATTCAGAAGCGCCGGCGCACGACGACGGCGCTGGACTTGGTGCTGGAACGGATCGGCGACACGGCGTCGGCGTCGCAAGGCTCGGGCACGGCGCCGACCATGTACTCGCAACTGCGCGCAACGGCGTCCGTCGAGAGTGACGTCCGCCGCCTCCCGTGGCTCTTTGTACTGCTCGCGCTGATCTCGCGCCACGGCCATTGGTTCCAGGCCCACCGCCGGGACGTTCTCGTCGCAGTGGTCGACACACTCGTGACGACGCTTGACGTGGCCACCATGGACGGCTACTGCAAGGACGTCACGTGCCAACTGCTCGTGCTTCTCGTCGTCCGGTCCGGTGACGCGGCGTCGTGGGTCACCGACGTCTTTACAAAGATCGCGATCGACGCAAGCCGCCGCAAGCCCAAAGAATCGATGCTGCAGCTGCTAGCGGTCTGCGTGGCCGGGCGAGTGCCAACGGCGGTCGTCGAAGCGCAGGCACCGGCGTTGCTGACCGTCGTGACGAGCCATGTGCCGACGGTCTCGGCGGTGACGCTAGCCGTTGCGCTTTGGACCATTGTCGATACTGGCGTGTCCTCGGCGTCGATGCGCACGCTGGTGCTGCAAGGCCTGCGCATGCTCGCACCCGCTGCCAACGACGAGTCGGTCGTGCTTCTGCTACTCGGTGGCGCACTCGCAGCGCTCTGCGACGGCATGCTACGCTGGGACGTCGCCACGTTCCTTGTGCCGGCGCTCAGCTCTCAGTTTGCCACCTGTGGCCTCGGCTACGCATCACCAAAAGCTCTCGACGTGTGCAACCGTGCCCACATCTTGCCGCACCTCGTCGAGATGTACGCGAGCATGCTGCCCGAGACACCGGCACCCGCGTCGCCCCGGCGCCTCCAGCTGCCAACATTTGTTGCCGAAGATATTTTACGCCGGCCCGAAGCGTTCGTGGCGCAGCGGCGCGTCTCTGTCGTGCTGGTGCCCCACCGAAGCGTGTGCGTCGACAAGGACCACCTTAGCAGTCTTCAAAGCGATCTCCACGCGCTCCTGCGTGAACACCTCTCGCTGCTGCCGTCGGCGAGCACCGAAGACATTGCGCCGCTTTTGCACCGTCTTCTGGAGGTACGTTGCTAGGCTTTTTTGCGTGCTCGATATTCCATGCCAGCTCTAGTTGGGATTGGTCGTCGCGGCCGCCCTGGGGTTGTACGCTGGTCTCCAGCAGCACATGGAAGCCTCGTCCTTGCTGGGTCAAGTCCTCTCGGCGACGACGAGCCGGCTCACGCACCTTCTCAAGCACGAACAGTACCACGAAGGGCTCTTCCAGAAGCTCTACTGCCTCCTGCTTTTGCTGCAAGGTGCCAACCTGCGCCAGCTCTCGGCAGCAAACGTGGATGTCCCGGCGATCACCAAGGTCAAGATCCCGCCGTCCTGCCGCGTGGCTGCTCGGTAGATTCCATACATGGCGCTCTTGTCTCACCAGTGTTGTAGCGATCTGGTCGCGATGTTGGAAACGTTCGTGCTGAGTGAAGCCGCCGCGCCCCTTCGCAGCGATTTGGACGATACGTCGTCGGACGACATGATCGCCGACGACGATGTCGGCGGGTTTCAAGCCGACGCTTCGGGCTCATCGGGCTCGGACGCCGCCTGCCGACTCTGGAGCCTCCGCATTGTGCTGTTCTTGAAAAAGGCAGAGAGCAGCTGCCACTTGGTGCACACGGTCGTCCAACAAAACTACGTGCCCTGTACAAGCGCCTTGTTTCTCGTGCCACTATTGTGCTTTCCGCTGACAACCGAAGGCGTCCGCGTCGGTCTGAGTCTCGTCAAGGGCTCGGCCAAGATTGCACCCGAAGATGCCAGCCGCATGCTCCGTGTCCTTGGCCACCACGTGACCGAGTCCCTGCCGCCCGAGCTGCTCCAGGATGTCGTGGCTGTCCTCGAGTACCTCAGGAAGAAGTTCAAGCACAACCGGATCGTTCGTCGGCGCCTTGTGCAGTGCTACGAGGCATGGTATCTCGTCAACGTCGATGCGTTTGCCGGCTTTGTCGAATTCAACTTGCCGCACCTCGTCGACAGGGACGTGCGTGTCCGCATCGCCAGTCTGCTCGCGCTCCGAACGCTCTACACCAAGTTTGAAGGTGTCCTCGCCATCTACAATGACATTTTCGCGCACTTGCAAGAACACGAAGCCGACACGACGACGTTCATCCTTGCCTGCTACGTCGCGGCGTGCGTGTGTCCGACGCTCTTGCCGCTCGTGCTCTCGCAGTACGTCGAGAACGGCCAAGACGACCCCCTCGTCGTCAAGTGCATCCTCGCGCTGAGTGTCCACCACGATTACGCGTCACCGATGGCCATGTGCGAGGACCAGCTTTGGGGCATGCTGACGAGCTACCTCGGCCTCTTGCCGCGGCTTCAGCGCCCGGTAGAGAGCAGCGAGACGCCGTGGATGCAACTCGGGCTGGGGCTCTTTGACGCGAACGTACCCTCTCTGGCGTGTGCGGTCGCGGCGACACCGTCACTGCGTCAACACCTCCTCCCGCTCCTCGTGCTACTGGACGTGGCCAACAGCACGGCTGACCACGTCGGGGCGCTTCGAGAGGTCGTTCCCGATGTGCGCGTGCCAGACGAGATGGCCGTCGGTGTCAAGGTCGTGGCGCACATGCTGCTGGAGGTGCCCATCACGACATCGGTCGACGTGACGCCAAGCCTCTTTCGATGCGTGTGTGAGATGACGTTTGCGCTTCTCCGCGCCTGCCCCGAGCTCGCGCCTCGTGTGTCGTGGGCGGTTCTGGCACAGCAGCTGCCGCACAGCTTTTGCGCGGTCGATATTGTCTTGTGCTTGAGCAGTATCGTCGGCAAGACGCACGCGTCGACGGCGCGACGGGTGCCATTGCAGTGTCTCTGCGACTGCATCGACGCACTCGGGTACAGCGTCGCCAACAACGGCTTGGCCCAGCGACTGCTGCTGAGCGTCCTGCTGCGCTTCATTGAAGAGAGTCCCGCCGTACCGATGGTGCTCAAGGCAACCGTCGAGCGCTGCTTGCAGTCGGACCCGGACGTACTGGGCGGCAACCTCAACCTCCTCGTGCAAAGCGTCGTGCCGCTGTACGCGCGGTGGGAGCCGGCGACCAAGTCGCTTCTCGACGGCTGCCTCGTCGCGGTTGCCCAGCACCCGAAGCTGCACAAGCACATTGTCGCTTTGGATCCCATTCCGCTCCACGTGTCGCCGTCACTCGACCAGCTCGCGGCCACGTGCAACGCGTCAACGCAGCTCGACGAGTCGCTCGTCGCCAAGCTGCAGCGCAGTCCGTTGGACGCCGTGCCGTTCTCGAGCTTTGGACTCCAGGCGCTCGATGGGATCATGCCGGCGTTTGCCAACGAGAAGCCGTCGACGATCGCGGCCGTCGTGTACGGCCTACTGAATCAAGCGTACCAGCGCGCACCGGCGTCGATGCCGTTGGTACCAGCGAGCGACGACACGGAAGTTCTGCCGATGTGGAGTCAACCGTCGCAGCCGACGCTCTTGAAGCGGGCGAGCAGTACAAGCAGTAGTAGCTACATGGCACCGAGTCGAGACGCGCCACCGGTGCTCTTGCAACTGGCAACGTGCTTGGGGCACCTCGGTGCTGTCTTTCCGTCGGCCGCGCTGCACCTCGATGCGTCGGCGCTCAATGCCATGTACCTGCATGTGTACCATCGGCCGTGCCTCGCGCAGCTGCAATCGTACAAGGACAGCGTCCTCGAAGTGCGTGCCAAGGTCCTCGAGTACGTCGTCGGCCAGCTCTTTGAGCACGAGATCCACGTCGTCGCGACGGCGACAACCACACTGCGGACGTTGCTCGGACTGCCGGTGGTGCATACAACGCTCCTGTCGACGCGGTCGTTGTCGTCGAGCCTCAAGGTGTTTCTGAGCCTTGTTGAGCCGATAAGCTCGCCAACAGATCCCCTCCGTGCCTCAAGTAGTGTGTGGCCCGCCGTGGCCGAGACCAGTATCGACACATGGGCTGCCCAGTGCTCGCTGCACCTCATCTCGCTCTGTGACGACCCCCTGCTGCACGCATGCGTCGACTTGGTGACGGTACAGCCGGCGTTTGGTGTCTGTCTCTTGCCATTGGCGCTCCACGCGGTCATTATGGAGAGCCGCGCGCTTCCGTCCGTCTCAAGCGACCTCGCGGCGCTCTTGGCGACAGACCTACTATCGCCAGGCCACGGCCAACTGCTCGTCCACAGTATTCAGTACGCGTCGCACTTGGCGAAATCGAGCGCACGGTCGCACGCGGCCAAGTTGCTGCACTTGCCGTGGCTGGACGTTGCGCGGGTCGCGTTGGCGAGCGAGCTCCCATACTCGGCGTTGCAGTTTGTGGAGAAGCACGTGGATGCCAAGCATCGACGCCTGTTCGCTGCCATGGACGACGACCTCGTGCCGATCTTGCGGGCCATTTACGACGCGATCGGGGACCTCGATGGCATGGACGGCGTGCTCGACATGCCCGACCTCGTGGCCATGCCAAGCAGCTACGCGATGGAGCGCAAGGTCCGGGGCAGTCTGCCTTTGTATGACGCGGCGCTGCGGCTGGACCCGCACTCGGCGACGCTCCAAGCCGGGCTCGCCACGTCGCTCGAGACGCTTGGATACGCGCATTTGTTGCAGTCGGTGCTCTCGGCGACAAAGGCGCCGTCGCCGTACACGTACGAGCTCGCATGGAAGTCGATGCAGTGGGATCTCAAGGCCGACACGTCGAGCTTTGAGGGATGTGTCTACGGCTGTCTGCGCAGCTTGGCCATGCAGGACCATGCCCACGTCGACCTGCTCCTCGGACAAGCCAAGACGTCGCTGTTGCAGTCGCAGCAGGTGGCGTTCACGGGCCTCGAGTCGACCAAGCGCCTTCAGACGTCGCTGCTCCAGCTCGAGACCCTGAGCAAACTCGAAGCGGTGCTAACCGTTCAGGTATGCTTAGCTTGCATGTACGGTGCAGGAGAATAGAACGTTGCTGCTGTAGCGTCAGAGCGCCCATGAACAAATGCTTGGCGCAATGCAGCTGCAGACGACGCAGCATGCGCTGCTTGGGTCCTGGAACCAGCGCCACAGCGTGTACGAGGACGATGCGGACGCGCTCCTCCGCGCGCTCGAGCTTGAAAGCACGCTGCTGTCGCTTCTCGACTGGCCGACGCCGGCGTGGCACCTCAAGCGAGCCAAAGCCGCGCGGAAGGCCGATCGCCCGGCGACCGCCTTTGCCGCGTTGGCACACCTGGAATCGATGACGGTGACGCGCTCGGTGCAGTCGACGTTGCTGCTGGAGAAGGCGCGGACGTTCTACGCTGCCGGGGACGCTGCTCGTGCGCTGCTCATCGCCAAGCACGTGCACAAGGCGCTGGTCACTGCGCCATCGTCCGAGCCGCTGCTGCTGGCGCAGACGCAGCTCACGATTGGCAAGTGGCTGGCGTCGATGCGCTCGGAGCGAAACG